TGGCGATTTACCCGCCTTTCCATATCAATACCGGCGAGCACGAAATATTCGTGCTAACTATGTTATACCTCACTTAACCGGACAATTATAACTCTTAACCTGCAATAAATACATTTATTTTCTAATTCGCTCTGCTTAACCGAAAATAAATTATTTATCACCTAATAAGAGTTGTGAAACTTCAGTCTTAGGCAGAATAAACAACAACACTCAAGTAGGATAAAGGCCTTCGCATTGTTTCAATATCGAGAAAAACAAAGAAGGAGAGAGTTTATAAACTTTAACCAATTTAATTATAACGTTCATAATATCGTAACCAATATACAATTTCAATTAACTTTAGTTATGAGAACAGCCTATATATAATCATAAAATATTCGACAATTTAAACACCTAAACTTCTTGATACAGATAATAAATTTCTATACTGTCCTTCACATAGCCATCTTTGGCTTTCTCACTACGCCAACGACCGTGTCGTTTAAATAGTCTATCTGGTATACCAAAATTAGCAGCAGCTGTACATCCGCCACTTCTCAAACTATGAAGTCCAAACTTGGTCTTATCTAGACCTAAATCTTTTAACATTTCAAGTAAAACCTCTCTGGTTCTAGTGTAAGATAAAGGTTTAGAACCTTCAAATTATACTCATTACGATACTTAAGATACAATACTGAACGAAATATAAAATCTTCAGAACTGTCGTCTTCGTACAAATTTACACATTTCAAATATTTTTTCTAATACAGTGACTGGAAATGTAATTAATCCGGTTTTAGCGATTAAACAACTTTTCCCTTCTCTGTAAATATCAGTCTTACTAGTCTCAATAAAAATTGATAAAAAGTCTTCATGAAAAACCAAATCAGATATTTTAATATTAGACAGTTCTGAAAATCTTAAAAAAAAACCAGCGTACGCAATAAGACACATAACAACATTTCTTAAATTCATTGTATTTGAATTATGTCCTAAATAACGAGAAACCATTTGATTTAAAATATCAGACGTTATTGGCTCTTTCTTAGAAACGGAATGACCCAGGATCCGGTGTGCAGCTTCCCTAACCGATTTCACTACAAAACTTCCACAAGGATTAGAATTGGTAAAACCAGCTAGTTCATGCGCCCATTTCACGCCGTAAAATGTTTCATCAACTGTAGATGACGATTTATTACTTTGAATTAAAGAAACTAAGTATAAACTAAAATCAATGTCTTTAGCTGGCAATGAGATTAGATTTGTGACGACTTGCCAAATACTCCAAAGTTTAAATGTTCTCTGGTAACACTTTCCAGTATTAAAAGCTTTGGACTTAAGTAAAACGTCTGGAAGCTTGGAAGCCAGGGAAGACAACTCCGGATCCCGTTGACAATCAAAAACTAATCTTTTACCAATGATATTTCTGAAATGTATAAAAAGAGAGAAAATATATTAACTTGTACATGAATAACAAAATCATAACAACTGAATCCTCGATTCCACGAAATCCTCGATTTCGTTATCAAGCCCTCGGCTATACATTTTGACCCCTCGATACCATAATATTGAACTAAAATGATTTTGCGATAGCATATCTTATTTAAAAATTCAATAACAAACAAAAATGTGTCGAATATCAAACTAAATATTCATTATGATATAATATCTTATTTTCAAAAATTAATAGTCCTTTAAGCAATGTGACCTCGGTCAATGTCATTTAATACTTAACGCAAACACTTGCCAAATATCAAACTAAAAATTCATTAGCGATAGCATATCTTATTTTAAAAAATTCAATGGAAAACTTGAAATAAAAGTAGACACAAATCAACTTATTTGCATAGTTCTTTGCACACTTTGACCCTCGGTCAATATCGTTCTATACTGTACACTAACACGTGCCGAATATTAAACTAAATATTCATTTTGTTATAAAATTATTAATTCTCAAAAGTTAAATATCAAACTTGAAATAAACTTATGTAGCAATCAACTTATTTGCGTAGTTCTATGCACCTTTGAACCTCGGTCAAGGTGTTTAAAATACCATATCACTAACATTAGCCGAATATCAAACTAAATTTTCATTTTATGATAAAATGTTTAATTGTCAGAAGTTCAATACTAAACTTGAAATAAAATTATGCAACAAAATATCTTATTTACAAAGTTTTGTGTACATTTGACCCTTGGTCAAATGTTATTTAACACCATATCGCTAACACTTGCCGATTATCAAACTAAATTTTCATTTTGTGATAAAATATCTAATTATTAAAATTTAATAGCAATCTTGAAATAAAATTGTGCAACAGCAACTTATTTACACAGCCGTTCTTTCTTATTCAAAACGTACTACTAAGACTTTGCTTAAAAACTTATCAGAACCAAAAATAGATTTTTGGTTAAAGTAATGTACAAAAATCTCAGAATTTGGCTTAAATGCAAGAATGTCCGCAATTTTGCTCTTTATAACCGCGTTATTACCAAATATAATGGACCAAAAAGGAGCAGACGGCCAGAATGGAGCTACCAGCGTCCCTCTGGCATTACATGTAATTATATGATTAACAGTTCTTGAAATCATGTGTATCGGTGGAACTAGCAAGTTATTTTCTCATGCCCAGTCCAAAGAAAAAGCGTCCACACCCTCTGTGACCGGTACCCAACCTAAAGAATTGAACCGATCTACCACGTGGTTATAATGATTTGCGAATCTGTCAACCGTATGAGGGCCAAACATAGCGTCAAGAAAATTGAAAAAACCAAAGAAACTCCCCAATCATCTAAATCAAACAGCTTACTCATGCAAATAATCTGCGTACAAATTTTTATCTCTGGGAACCCATTGCAAATAAATTGATATATGATTTTTTCAAACACATTTCAAACACAGATAACGATATACTATGTAAATCGGATTTCATACTACCGCTTTCAATTATAGATACACAATTTTGATTATCTGTGCACCATTTGAGTAACGACCTTTTATCAAAGGGAGAAAACTCTGCAATGCAAACAATATAGCGGTCATTTCCCGCCAGGTAGAACTGGTATTTTGTTCAAATGGAGACAATTGCAATTTCTATGGCAAACGGCGGTCGGATAACCTTGTATGTAAGCTGCGCATGCGTGTTGACTTGCATCAGAATAGATTGTTACTGAACTTATATCAGATACAAATAACTTTTTAGTCAGCCTTATAGTAAATGCTTTCTCCCAAAACTGTAACTCTGTAATTACTCCTAAATCCGAAACATCTATAACTGAATTCCAACTAAACCTACATTCAATAGCTCTGTGTAAATTTTTGGTCATGAGCTTACACACATTTCCTAATACTGGAATCAGTGAAATAATTTTACCAGTACACCTCGCCATATCTCGCGCAGACACGAAAGGAAATTTACCTATGATAAAGGTAATACACTGTACTATACGCTTTTCACACGCCTATCGGAATTTCTAAAAAATTATCCTTTTAAATTCCATAATAAGCCTAACCATTCTAAATTTTGAACTGGAGTTATTATCGATTTCTGAGTATTGATCAAAAACCCCGCTATGATGAGGACATCTTTAACAAAATCAGCATCTTTAAGAGTACAATCAAACGTTTTATTTACTCCCCCCCATCATCTAAAAACAAAACAAATCTGATTCCCTGAAGACGAATTAATTTTACAATACATCTTAAACATTTAGTCAAATAAACGGTGCCGACGTCAACCCAAATGGTAATACAGTAAAAACATAAATATTTAAGCTTAGCGTTCTCAGTCATGAAATCCCAAAAAAGTTGTTGTGCTGTGGCTATATCTATGTGGTGATATGCAGATGAAATGTCAAATTTAAACATAAAATCATACTTTAACAAATAATCTGACGCAACCTTCCAGTCCTCAAATTTAAAATGTTCCTTCTTAACAAATGTATTCATGACACTTAAATCTAAAATTAAACGCTTTTTTCCCGAACTGTTCACAGACACTGAAAGAGGGTGGCACGGAAGTGTCACATTGAAGGTTCCATGATAACCGCCGTATGAACACATCTGCGGATGTTTCTAAATTCAAAATTTTACTATTTCACGTTTAAATGTTGAATTCTGCTTAAGCCGGTGCTAGGGGGCGTGGACGGTAACTTGCACTTTCCAGTACCGTCCATGAACAGGCTCAATCAAACCGAGCCTGCAACATTTTCAATTTTGCCGTGTTGGGCTTTCTTTAGGGATTCTGTATTTATCTATGTTATGATCACATCCGTGTTATTTGTGCCGTGTGGCGGCTGTAAAAAGTCTCCCCGTACATTTAATCAATGATGTTATATTTTCGATCCTTGAAGATCGTTCAGCACGACATTATTGTTGTGCTTGTGGTATTTTTAGTTTCAACTTTTCGGCGTTTTCCACTTGGGTGGTTCCAATATTCCTACTTGAATAATGTTGAATCACCCTTAGGATATGTTGCCTGCTTTTAAATTTGTCTTTTTGACGTATTATCTGTGATACGCAGGCTTCATAACCTCTGATCCCCTTTCAAAATTCCATTTTATTTAGTTCCGCCCATTGTTTTCTCGTTTAGGGCACACGCTTTTTGTTACTTGGGGACCATACGCCGCTTTTCATGGAATGGCACGGAAGTGTCACATTGAAGGTTCCATGATAACAGCCGTATGAACACATCTGCGGATGTTTCTAAATTCAAAATTTTACTATTTCACGTTTAAATGTTGAATTCTGCTTAAGCCGGTGCTAGGGGGCGTGGACGGTAACTTGCACTTTCCAGTACCGTCCATGAACAGGCTCAATCAAACCGAGCCTGCAACATTTTCTATTTTGCCGTGTTGGGCTTTCTTTAGGGATTCTGTATTTATCTATGTTACCAAAAAAGGCTGAAAAGGCACTTCTAACACACAGCCAGCCTTAACTAAATCAGCAACTGCGTCAGTTACAAAATCTGAATGGTCAAATGCAGATTTATTATTTTTCATGAAATATGATTGAGGAATATTGTTAAAAGGTATGACGTAACCATTTTTTACTACGTCATAAATAAAGTCAGATGCCTCTAAAACATTACACCAATAATTAGCGTGTAATCTCAGTCTACCCTTTACGCCCGAATTTACTTCAAAATTATCATCTTTAGAAACATACTGAAATTCAAAATATCTTGAATGTGAACATAAAATATCAGTTTCAGCTTCATTTACTGAAAAATTACAAAAAATACTATGAGCTAAAAAATACTCATCTATATCACTAAACTGTCTTTCTTCAGTTTGTTTCGGCTGGCTGTGGCTTGAATGACATTCCTCGGTTATCGCCCTTGATTCCTGTTGGGGACTGGTACGTGATAATTCCCGGGGAAGTTCTGCTGATGTCGGGAACGGGACGGTATCTCTGCCCTTGAAACGATGAAGATTGTTGAAACTTTGGACACTCTGCCCGGACATGCCCGAAACCTGCACATGCGAAGCATTGGACTCTCCGAAAGGGACGAAAAGTTTCAAATTGGCTACTAGTAGTAGAAATAGAATTAGTCGCAGAGGCTCGACTACTGGATAACTTTCTCTTCTTTGACAATGCCCTTGCCTCGGCTCTACGAATTTTACGATCATCGTCGCTATCACTTGCCAAATCGTCGGACTCGTATTCTGCGACGGTACCCCACCCAGCTAGGGATTTGTCTGCTAACCTAACAAGTTTATTCCTCTTATGTATTTTCTGCACTGTAGACTCAAGCAACTGAAGCGAACTTAACTGTCCTCTAGTCCTAATAATAAGACCTATACGTAACCTATTTCATATTTATCATTCATTAATCTGATATTTTACATTTTTCATTTTCCATGTTACGTTAGGTCTTAACAGATCTTTGCAAAATCGTGTAGCAAAAAAATTGACATTAGACATCGATTTAGATCTAATGAATTTAAACAATTAAAACAGCGTGTATTTACATTAATTTTGACCTATTTATGAACAAAAGTAAAAAATGAATACCTTTTAACAAAATAATTGAACTGTCACATCCGAAAAGTCATGATTAAATCCTCTCATTTAATTAAATTCCTTGTACAGCCGATATACAAATGGCCGCCATACAGTGCGCGAAATCTGATTGGCTAATTCAAATGCAAGCGTTTAAATGATTCCAGAAGTTTCTAACGGAATATTTTTTCAACGAAATAATTGCCCATGCACCGTCAGTGTGTTTGAATATATTTTTCCGTTCAAAAAATTGGAAACAATCTGTAAAACGCTTTACTTAACCAGTATGGCCGATGAGCAAAATAGACTGATATTTATATTTTATTTTTAATTGATAATTTCATTGTTTGAAAGTTTTTGTTAATGATAGACCATGCAATTGAAAGAACAGAAGATAAGCTTTTGAATAAAGCTTGAAAGGCAAGTCAACAGATATTTTTTTAATTTTTCAAAATGCTACGCGTTTATGAGCAATAGCTATTAGACGTCAGGCTTGACCAACATAAAACTATAACAAGCCTGTAACGTCTAATCTATTGGACTAAACTGTCCTCCTGACTTCACTAAAGACTGTACACGCTCAATGTCTTCTAAAACTTTACAATTGAAATCGTACTGTCGCTTGTTTCCTTTATATTTAAAGTCAACAGGTGAGCGTTTACTGGCAGTTTCTTGAAACTTGCGAATGCTTTTCTCTGAACACCCAGAAAATTCCTCTCTTATTTCTTCTTTGAAAGTAGAAAGTTCTTCTTTCAGAAATGATTTAAAATCAATAAAGTCCTTCCCATAATTTGTAGGACATTCACCACGTGTACTCTCCATAAAGAACAAGAGCACCGCTAGGCGGAGCATTATATGCCCAAAAGTATTTTTTTTAGTAAGGATGACCTTAACCGTTGACCTTTTGACCCCAAAATCAATAGGGGTCTTCTACCCAATATGGACAATCATCCTATGAAGTTTGAACATTGTGGGCCAAATGGAACTTAACATATGCTCCGGCAACTGTTTTCAGTATCAAGGTAATAGTGACCTTCACCTTTGACCTTTTGACCCCAAAATCAACAGGGGTCTTCTACCCAATATGGACAATCATCCTATGAAATTTGAACATTGTGGGTCAAATGGAACCTAAGTTATGCGTGGAAACATATTTTTCAGTATCAATGTAATAGTGACCTTCACCTTTGACCTTGTGACCCCAAAATCAATAGGAGTCTTCTACCCAATATGGACAATCATCCTATGAAGTTTGATAATGGGGGTCGAATGGAACTTAAGTTATGCTCTGGAAACTGTTTTCAGTTATAAGGTAATAGTGACCTTGACCTTTGACCTTTTGACCAAAATCAATAGGGGTCTTCTACCCAATATGGACAATCATCCTATGTAGTTTGAACATTGTGGGACAATTGGAACTTAAGTTATGCTCCAGAAACTGTTTTCAGTATCAAGGTCATAGTGACCTTGACCTTTGACCTTGTGACCCCAAAATTAATAGGGGTCTTTTGCCCAATATGGACAATCATCCTATGAAGTTTGAACATTGTGGGTCGAATGGAACTTAAGTTATGCTCTGGAAACTGTTTTCAGTTATAAGGTAATAGTGACCTTGACCTTTGACCTTTTGACCCCAAAATCAATAGGGTTCTTCTACCCAATATGGACAATCATCCTATGAAGTTTGAACATTGTGGGCCAATTGGAACTTAAGTTATGCTCCGGAAACTGTTTTCAGTATCAAGGTCATAGTGACCTTGACCTTTGACCTTGTGACCCCAAAATCAATAGGGGTCTTTTTCCCAATATGGACAATCATCCTATGAAGTTTGAACATTGTGGGTCAAATGGAACTTAAGTTATGCTCCGGAAACCGTTTTCAGTTTGGATTTAGCTCAATACAGGATTGGAGCAGTACCTCTAGACGCTTGCAGAAATCATGATCACAAAATAGACAAATATCGTTTTTTTCTTCGAATTTTACATTTTTTCTGGATTATCGTACTTGATTCGGTGTGAAAAGATGAATTAGACCTGTTAAAGTTCATTCCGTTGGGTAAAAAGACAAGATTTTAGCATTTTATCATTCAAGCGCCTTGTCCGGTATATACCGGAATACGGTATTTAGTGTGGTGCTCCAATCCTTTTTTTAGTCACAGCCTTTCAGTTTTAAGGTAATAGTGACCTTGACCTTTGACCTTTTGACCCCAAAATCAATAGGGGTCTTCTACCCAATATGGACAATCATCCTATGAAGTTTGAACATTGTGGGCCAATTGGAACTTAAGTTATGCTCCGGAAACTGTTTTCAGTATCAAGGTCATAGTGACCTTGACCTTTGACCTTTTGACCCCAAAAACAATAGGGGTCTTCTGCCCAATATAGACAATCATCCTATGAAGTTTGAACATTGTGGGTCGAATGGAACTTAAGTTATGCTCCGGAAACCAAATTGCTAACGGACGTACGGACGGACGGACGGACAGACAGACGGACGGACAGACAGGCAGACGGACGCCAGGGGGTATAACATAATATGCCCTTTCGGGCATATAAAAATGTGTAACGCGCACAATACGATGTGTTCAATGTAATGCGAAGTCCTCGAGTGGCGATTTACCCGCCTTTCAATTATGTATCCATATCAAAACCGGCGAGCACGAAATATTCGTGCTAACTATGTTATACCTCACTTAACCGGACAATTATAACTCTTAACCTGCAATAAATACATTTGTATGTTGAGCCATGGCCAACTATATATGCATCTTTGTTTACTCCTACTGCTATGTTATTGTTCATCCACTTCTTCTGTTCTTTTTAATAACTCGGAACGGACATTCATAAGCTTTCATAACTTTCTGCCCAATATTTTCCCTATATATCTAAAACTATCCCGGATCCCGGGCGTGCCGGATCCCGGGACCCTCCCCCCCCCACCCTAAATACCGGAAAGGATAAAATGACCGGGAAAAAAAGAGAGAAAAAAATGCACAGAACCAGATGTACACTTATGTTAATTAACCAAACGAAAACTTACTACAGAGAAAACAGGTGAAATCGCTATAAAAGTCAGTGTAAATATGATTTATTGAAAAGAATTCATGAAAACAAACATTTTAATCATCATTATATCTTTGCGCTCAAAGCAATACTTGCTGCTTTTAAAAAATGGCGTGAAAATTGAAGGTTTTTTGACGCTATGTAAGATTAAATTTGATTGGCTAAATAATTTTGGATTCCAGCCCTGACAGATAAATTTTGTAGAAAGCTGGGAGCCAAGCTTCGTTTAAATTTTCGGATGGATTCGGAGTTTTAGGTTGTTTCTCAGTAAAATCCTAACGTAATACCGGCAAGCCGTGGCGAGCCGGCAACAATCATGCGAAATGTGGACATAGAGCAAAGTTCGGTAACTCCGTTTCTAGGTCATTGTAACCTTGAACATAAAGCTTAAAAGATAGAGCAATGTAAGGTAAAAAGAATTGTGGTGCTCACGGACCTAGGTACGAGATAGGTTGAGTACGTGAGTATAATTATGCTTCATAACCTTGATTGGCTGTAACCCCTGACGGCAAAGGGCCCATTGGGATTCTGGGTGATTCCTCTAGAAGCAGCCATTGGTGCTGCAGGCAACATTGACTAGGTGAAACTAATCCGTTCATTAGACAGGCATATTAGTGCATCCAGACCTGGTATACAGACATCTAGATAGGTAAGTCATTTACTTATCATATGGTAGGTTCTACAATGGTGGCAGCGGTAATTTGAGTACCAGTTTTGCCAGTAAAAAATCGCTACCTGCAAAACAGCTGATTTTAGGTGAGGCATTTTTGTAAACCTAAAATAATCGAACCTTGTGTCTGTTAACAGGTGTAATTGGTCTAAAGACAATTGCATTGATTTCATAAAGCACTTTTACGTGTAATTTTTGGATAATTGAGATAATTATTCGAATTTGGCGGATTTTTTCCGCGGCATTCGGAACTGCCTCGGCTATTATCTATAATATTAACCTCGGAAACAATACGGATTGAAAGTAGTTCTACCACGTGATTTCAGATGTAAACAGAAACAGAGAAAATGTAAAACAAATGTATATATTTGACATCTAATGCCTGTTCCGGTACTCTTTTTCTTGAAAATATGTCTGACAACAATTAGTTATTTAAATATGACCACTGATGTTCAATTTCAAACAATTCCGACGAAATGTCAACAGGTTGGTTTTTTGTACTTTCGGTTTCTACAACCATAATAATAAATATATAAATAATGAATTGTTTGCTTTTGTACCTATGATATCACTTATTTTAGGTGAACCTTTACTACATATATTGGAAATAAACTTGTAAACAACTCCCAGCATTAAATAACTATTTGTTTACATGTTTAGTTTCTTAGCGTAGGTTAGACCGAAATACCGCTTCCGTTCTGTGTATTCATACTATTGTGTTCGAGGTCCTTATCCGAAGACTGACGGAAAGGGCCGAGTAGTTGCGATTGTTTCCGCGGAGACACCAAAGGAAATAGCCAACCAGTGTTCAGTGTGAAATCACCAAGTCAGTTTTGTGCTTTTGTTCTGCCATCGTATTTTATTAAATCTAACATTAATTTAATAGAGTAATTTGTTTATTTTTTGATAAATAAGTTTTGTTGTTGTTTTCTTGTAATTGGTACACAAGTAATTGAACCATGTCAATGCAAGATGACTTGACAGGCATGGCAGACGCTTCATCAGTAAAGGATGAGCCGGTCGCAGGGCGCCATAGTCCTGTAGCAGTAAATTTTTGTGATATTGACCAGTTAATGCTAATTCCTGGAATCGGTAAGAAATTAGCTGTAGCCCTTTTATCAGTTAGGGAAAATAGTGGCAATATCACACCAGAGATTTTGTCAGTTATTTGCCGTAAAAAGTTTACGGAGGATGAGCTAGCACTTATTGATTTTACGTCCAATAAGTGTTGGCCAGCTGAAGAGAAAGAGGATGAGTTGATAGAAGCCAGTAAAGCCGTGTTGGGCTTTCTTTAGGGATTCTGTATTTATCTATTTTATGATCACATCCGTGTTATTTGTGCCGTGTGGCGGCTGTAAAAAGTCTCCCCGTACATTTAATCAATGATGTTATATTTTCGATCCTTGAAGATCGTTCAGCACGACATTATTGTTGTGCTTGTGGTATTTTTAGTTTCAACTTTTCGGCATTTTCTGTATGGGTGGTTCCAATATTCCTACTTGAATAATGTTGAAAACCCCTTAGGATATGTTGCCTGCTTTTTAATTTTGTCTTTTGACGTCTTATCTGTGATACGCAGGCTTCATAACCTCTGATCCCCTTTCAAAATTCCATTTCATTTAGTTCTGCCCATTGTTTTCTCGTTTAGGGCACACGCTTTTTATTACTTGGGGACCATTCGCCGCTTTTCATGGAATGGCACGGAAGTGTCACATTGAAGGTTCCATGATAACCGCCGTATGAACACATCCGCGGATGTTTCTAAATTCAAAATTTTACTATTTCACGTTTAAATGTTGAATTCTGCTTAAGCCGGTGCTAGGGGGCGTGGACGGTAATTTGCACTTTCCAGTACCGTCCATGAACAGGCTCAATCAAACCGAGCCTGCAACATTTTCAATTTTGCCGTGTTGGGCTTTCTTTAGGGATTCTGTATTTATCTATTTCCCTAAAATGGATGTTGCTTCTCGGCTTATGGCAAAAGGTCCACAAATGGATAGCCAAGGTCAGGAACCTACATCGGGTGAGGATGCATCTTGTGGGGACCCTTATCTGAGTAATAGGTATACCCCGAAGGACATTGATTTCT